TCCCGAATCGAGAATTGACCCCCCTTTAAAATGATTCAACCCACACGCTCAACAAATTTCAACATTTCTTCTAATCTCTATTCAAAGTTAAACTTTCTTTTTCCAAACCTTTAAGAGAGACTACTTGGTATATGAAGCCATTGCTACAAATACACTCACGAAATAAGCATCACAGTAGTATTAACATAAAGTAAAGACAATTTTAATGAATATCCATTTCAAATTTTATGGTTCTACGTCTTGTCGTTGAAGAGATATTAATTTATATATGCCCTGCAAAATCAAGCAAAGTATGAACACGTTGTGCTCGCTTGCTGCGCCTGAGTTTAACAGCTGTTATTTTAACATTAGACTGTTAACTTAACATTTGCGGTATTCTTAATACGTTTTCAATAATGTTTCAAAAATTTGAATACTTGTAAAAAACACATTTATGCCAAAAAAAAACCGGTTAAATGCCCCATAGTGCACTGGGCAGCTCATCGATGTGTGTGTGCAGACCGCTGTTCTACAGTGTACGTAAGCGAGCAGCGGCTGGGCAGAACAAAACACTATGCTCACTTAATAGGATGCTGCCGACCGCTGGTCTAAATGCATCCAGACAAATTCCGGTTGCTTTATATTAGTTGTTTAACTAGACTAGTTCGCATTTTTCCTGCAGGGAGGGGAAGCTGTAGAACAAAGTTAGTAAGAAACTGAAGAATTGAGAATTTGACCACTTTTTTTTTGGCCAAAACCCATTTATCAAAAGTCGTTAGAAATTGGTTTTGTCAATCACGATGTATTAGGATAACATCAATGTCAAATGTTATTAACAGAAAAGTTTAACAGTGTGCATCACTGTTAACTTATCAGCTGTAAAAGCCTGTTAATGCTTCAACGAGACGGCAGCACTGGTAAATCGCTTATTTTGATTAAAATTTAAATTATCAAAAAGAGCATTGTTTAAAGTTTCTTTTTGTAGACTTGTATTTTTGGTTGAATTTGGGAGCGACTCAGCGGTACGCTCCCCAAGCTTTATTATTTTCAATCTGAATTCTTAATTCTATTACATGTTTGCATAAAGCTAAGATCGGCCGGCTATGTCGGCAGAGACGCCGGCAGAGCTGCGGTCGACGCTTATGTATAATTGTTCTTATATATGAGAGAGAGAGAGAGGGAGATACTATGTTCACTCCCTGTAGTTCGCCGGGACTGGTCCCGAACTAGCGAAATCGCCATACACCGGGGGCTTGGGACTAACTCCCGTTCATACCACCCGCAATGTAAATTTCTATCCACTTTTACCACGGCATGTCCTAGGCGGTGGTCATATGGCGAAGTTCTGCATTACCTTTCGCCACAAAAGGGACCGATAGGTGGTCCCATATTATACCCCTTTTCGCCACAAAAGGGGCCACCTATCGGACCATCTATCGGACCACCTATCGGTCCCTTTTGTGGCGAAAAGGGGTATTAAATGGGACCACCTATCGGTCCCTTTTGTGGCGAAAAGGGGTATGAAATGGGGTTGGTGTTTTCAATACCAAAAAAGCTGAATGCTATGAAACTTCCCTAGAAAAAATACTTTTTGTTAAATTAATTTATTGTATTATAAGTAGACAATTTTTCTATTTTTTTAATTTATATTTATTGAACAAATTCCTCTGCTGACACGTTTTTGTTGAGTGCCTCATTGTTGTTATTATTTGATTTGGATTTATTTTTAAAAAATCGTTTCTTTTGCAATTGAATTGCCTTGGGAATCAATATTTCTGCATTACCAGATTCTGAAACAATATCTAAAAAAAAATAAGATTTTAGTGTTTTAAAATAAAATGAGAACAGAAACTAACTTCGGCAAGCCAAAGTTTTAATACCCTTGCAGCTTTCAGGAATAAAATTGTGACTAGAAAAGCATAAATATAAAATAAGAATAACCAACAGTTAAATGTAGACTTATTTCACGCTTTTGAAACTTGAACCGACAGACAGACGGACATGGTTAAATGGATTTACTTTATAGGTTTGAAAAGGTCTCCTTTACTGCGTAAAAAACTTCTGGACTAAATTATAATTCCCTCTGCATGGGTTTAAATATATATTTTAAGATTTTGTTATACAAGCCTGTTTACATCAAACCATGTTTTAAAAGTGAAAAGCAGAAAAAGACAGAAAGAAATAGGATTAAAGACAGATGGCATTCTAAGTAAATAGATTGAAATTGAATCAAGAAACTAAGTGTATTATAAAAAATACAGTTATAAAAATAACCTACCGTGAAGTGCACCATAGAAATGTGTAAAGGAGTTTACGGCTTTTTTTTCCAGAAAGGCCTTTAACATTAAATCCTACAACAAACTCATCCGTGAGAACCCTCCGCAAGTTTTTTAAACCCCCTTCTGGCAGCAACAACGATCTCATGGCTTTAATCTAAAAAGGAAGAAAATTTCACTAAAATATTTATATCAAAAAAAAAAGACTTACGTAGGAGTCCTTTGCACCACTATTTCTCCTTCTCCTCTTTAACAAATCGACGAATGTGCCTGTTGCTGTTCATGGCTAAATATCACACATTATTAGGTATTTCACTTGCACAACTCATGGTGTTACTCACCTGTTGACGACACTTCAGATCACAACAAAATATAACACTTTAAATGCACAATAAGACAAATTAAATACATGTTTACAAAATTTGGCGCAAACGTTGGGCTAGTGATGGTAGCGGGGTTGGGTAGTTATGGCAATCCGTTACGATTAATATTGCGACTACCGATATCGTATAATCGATGGCAATAAAAACATTCGCTAATATTATTTTTGTTTAGTTCTATGTATATAAAATTAGGTACTTATATATTTATTTTATATATCTAAGCACCAATAAAATCCGCTTGTTATGGAAGAAAAGAAAACGTTTTGCTACTGAACCACCGCTACTGTTAAAAATATTGCTGCAGCTAAATTGCTCATTATTAAATATAAATAATATAAAAAGAAATAAAATTCTATCATTTATTATTTTATTTTATCTCATTATCAAGTTTTTATTTTATTATTTTAACTTTTTTTAAATTTGTTTTTTATATAAACAAAATAAAGTTGTATTCGTTATTAAAATCATTATATACTTGTCAAAAATTTCATTTTACAATTTTTTTAACTCATATAGAAGTGTTCACATAGAAGTGTTCACTCTCCGATAACTCTTTTGCTCTTGTAAAAAATACACACGCCACCTATTGACCCTTAAGGGACCACTGGGTGGTCGATCCCTTTTCTACCCCGAAAGTGCCACCGGCCCCCTTGAGAACTACAGGGCTTGGCCGTCGGAGCGGTCGCACATATCAAATATGCTGACACTGCAGTTTCCACGCCGGGCACTCGGGAACTGCTAGGATTATAAATGTATTTGTGTTTTGTTATTGTGGCCAAATGCAAAATGCCAAATAAGGTGTCTGTACTTAAATCGATGCGTAACACTGAGTACAGAGTACATTCGATATGTGAACATACTACATCTCCCTCCTTTTGAAAAATAACGTAATTATATGGAGTTATTTTCTAGGTGTATATTTAATGAAAATATTTTTATTAAATTGTTTCTTTTTTTTTTTTTATGTAGTTTAACTTATTAAAAATGGTTTTGAATCAGAAAGTATTGTTTTGAATCAAAATTAATATTTATATATAATTTATTCATTTTATTATTGTTTTTTTTTCAATTTAAATCTGTTTTTTTTTTTTTGTTTACGTGATATATATATAAGAGAATTAAAGTGATTATGAAATAAAAATTTTTAACCTATCCTTATGAACTGTTTGCTTCTTATTTTTGTTATTTGAAATTACTATATTTTCTCTTTCTTGTATACTTTCTACCTTATATGGTCCAGTGTATTTAAAGTCTAGCTTGTGCCCTGTTTAATTTTTTGCAAAACTTGGTCTCCGATTTTTAAATCAAAGTTCAAAATATTTCTGTCATAGTTGAGTTTTTGTTTGTGTTTATGGCATTCTAGCATTAATCTAGCTCTCTTAAATGCTTGTTCTAGTCTAAACTTAGATTCTTTAGCGTAATCATCTGTGTTTTATAATGGTTTTTTTTTTTTTTAAATTTTAAAGGGTTGGGTTAAATTAAAAGTTTTAACAAAAAAAAAACCTAAAAAAAAAAAAAATATGCCAAAAAAAGGGGGTTTTTTAAAAAAAAAAAAAAAAAATATTGAAACCATACATCCCAATCTGTTTTATCAACTGAGATGTATGAGCGGATGAACTCATTAAATGTTCTGTGCAGGGACCGTAACAGTTATAAGTTTTATTGATAAAACTCGCACTGAAAAACTTATTTCTGATTTTTATTTGTATTCCTCAAAAATAACAGTTATTGTTTGAGTTTTATTATAAAACTCATGATCATGATGAGTAAAAAAAAATAAAAATCATCAATAACGATCATGTTTGAGTTTTATTTTATAAAACTCAAAATAAAACTCAATTCGCTTTTGCGGCCATTGTATTGGGAATTTAAATATGGTTTAAATTGGTTCTTGTTCGTTTGGCCATGTCGTTTTAGCACATTTAATAAAAAAAAATTTATTTTTACATTAAACTATTTTAAAAATTGATTTAAGGTGAAAAATGGGCCTTTTTGTACGACTTTTTTGTGAAGGCAGGATAAATATTGGTTTTTATGGATCTGATAACTTTCGATCTTTTGCAAGATCTTTTAAGTTTTTCGTAATACAAAGTAAAGCCGGAAGAATTCACGAATTGTATTTGATCCGTTCTTTCATAAAATTATGACGGGAAAATATCATGGTCCTAATTGAGAATGCAGCAATATTTCAGTTATGTGACTGTTTTCACTATTCGCGATTCATTTGACCTAATGAATTCGTTTTTTTTTTTTACCTTAAGAATTCGCGGATTCTCTTAACTTGAAGAATTCGATATGATTCATATGATTCTGATATTGTTAAAGTCGAATAATCCGCTTTACAGTCAAATAATAGAAAAGGCGAGATGGGTCGAAAATCGGATGGAATTCCCCGAAGTTTTTTTTACCACTGATGCTGAGAAAAAGGTATCAATATGTAAAATATGTAACGCGACGTTTTCGGGTAATTATGTTAGCAATTTAAAACGCCATTTGGAAAGTCGTCATCCAAGTGAGTATGGCTTGGAAATTTCTGAAGATAGCCACGGATGCCCGCAAAAGAAGATTAAGTTTTCTTCCTCGTTGAGCAAGGGCGAAGTTAAAGATGCGTGTGTGGAGCTAGTGACGACTGAAAAGTTGCCATTCTCGGTATTGGACTCAAACGGTTTTAGAGTCTTAACGGGGCACATATTTAAAGGACTGGATATGCCCGTTGCAAATTCTCGAAACATAATGACTTTGGTGGAGGACAAATATGAGAACCTCAAATTAAAAATTATTTCATCGCTCCAAAAAAAAATAATAAGTTTAAAGATGGATACAGCGACTAGGTGCGGCCGTGGAATATTGGGGTTAAATGTTCAATTTTACCATGACAGAAAACTGTGCATACGGACTCTGAGCTTTATTGAGCTAGATAAGGCTCATACCTCGCAAAATTTGTGCTCAGAAATAAACTTAGTATTGTCCGAATTTGGTATAGAAAGCAACCAATTATATTCCGTTACCACCGACAACGGTCGAAACATGATAAAAGCTGTTCATTTAATGAATGACGACTGTACAGATTATGATAACGACTGCGATTATGCTTCTGACTTGACGAACCAGGATGATGATGAGCTTCTGACAGACATTGATATCAAGTCTATTAAATCAATCAAATGCGCAGCGCACACCTTGCAGCTAGCCGTAAAGGATTTCTATCAAATGTTAGGTTCAATGGATGGTATTGACAAAGCTCGAAAGCTTGTCAAGCACCTTAGAACTCCTACGTTTAGGTAAGTTTTTGGCCTTTTTTTTTGCGAAATTAATATTATTCCCATTAAGATATTTGATAAAAACAAATTCCCTACCGCAACCTGAGCTTGATGCTAAAGAAACTTATAAAGTTCAAGAGCTTTTGTAAGGATGCTGTGAAGCCTGAAATAAATCTTCAAAACTTTGAATGGACTGAGATAGAATGCCTTGTAAGTTCGTTGGAGCCACTGTACAGTGCAACTTTGAAATTACAAAGTGCCCAGCTGTTTATGGGAGATTTTTATAAGGCCTGGCTAGAACTAAAACTGTTGGTGAAAGCATCGAAGTCATCCCATAGCGCCCAATTGCTACAATGTATTGAAAAACGGGAGCAATCGCTGATGGATAATTACGTCGTCGTGAGCAGCATTTACTTGGATCCAAGAATCAGAAGAGTTTTGATCAAAAGGCCATCTAGCATCATGCTAGCAAAAGTCGCTCTGAAGAAACTTATGGGTAAAATTTTATCAATAAATCGAAGCGTAAGTTAATTTACATGCATATTCTATTACAGTACTTTTACTAGTTTATTTTTTATTTAAAATAGGTCTCTGAAGCTATATTGACTGAACAGCCAACAACATCTTGTCATGCTGCAAACAATGTCCAGGACCCACCTGAATCTTGCATGCTCACTGAATATTTAAATTCAATCGAAAACGAAAATGGAACAGATGAATATGACGATATAGATACCAATTTAAAATCCGCGTTCCGTGAAATTGAGGAATGCAACCCTAGGCCAGTACCAATAGATGTACAAATTATGGAGTATTGGGAGCAGAAAAAATTCCAGTTACCAAATCTTTACCAGTTGGCTAAGGTGGTACACGCCGTGCCCGCCACGCAAGTGAGCGTGGAAAGAAGCTTTTCGGCCCTCAAAATGGTGTTAACTGATCTTCGCTGCAATTTATCGCCAATAGCTTTAAAAAAACTTTTATTTGTAAAACTAAACAATATATAAAATTTTTACAGGAATTTCTTTAAAGAAGTGCTATTATTAATAAATTTTTATGGATTATTGCGACCTGATTTTTTTTATTTCTATTTTTCTCTTGATGGGGGCTTCAGTATTGATAAAACCGGAACTATGGGGTACATGTCAATGATGTGCACTAATGCATTCTGTATATGTCACATATAAGCATTCCTATAGGATAAATTAACAACAGAAGACTGGTCCAAAAAAAATCATAAATAGTCATAAAAATAATCAAAGTATAGTTTGTAGTTTAGCTCAGGATCGAACTAATTAGAAACTAATATGGCGGCAAAATCATGTGGAAATATGTTTTATTCAAGTTTAAAGGTTTTTGGCTTGGTGGACTTTTTGGTGGAAGTGCCCATTTTTACCATGAAATGATTGGATTGGAATTTTATTCACTTTCTATAAAAATTTGCAATATTTCCCGCTTAGACCAACGTTTGTTTTGGCGGATTGAAATTTATTTGGTTTATTTTCTTCAGTCAAATGTTTCGCGAATTTTTAAGGTAAAAAAAAATGCGAATTCATTAGGTCAAATGAATCGCGAATAGTGAAAACAGTCACATAACTGAAATATTGCTGCATTCTCAATTAGGACCATGATATTTTCCCGTCATAATTTTATGAAAGAACGGATCAAATACAATTCGTGAATTCTTCCGGCTTTACTTTGTATTGCGAAAAACTTAAAAGATCTTGCAAAAGATCGAAAGTTATCAGATCCATAAAAACCAATATTTATCCTGCCTTCACAAAAAAGTCGTACAAAAAGGCCCATTTTTCACCTTAAATCAATTTTTAAAATAGTTTAATGTAAAAATAAAATTTTTTTTATTAAATGTACTAAAACGACATGGCCAAACGAACAAGAACCAATTTAAACCATATTTAAATTCCCAATACAATGGCCGCAAAAGCGAATTGAGTTTTATTTTGAGTTTTATAAAATAAAACTCAAAACATGATCGTTATTGATGATTTTTATTTTTTTTACTCATCATGATCATGAGTTTTATAATAAAACTCAAAAAATAATTATTACCATTGATTTTTAAAAATAAAACTCACAAAATAAAAATCATTGCAGATTTGCATAACTTGACCAATTTGGAACTCATTGGTGTTCTTGATTTTTTGGTAGCACTTTTCTAAGTGGATGATTTTTATAGCCAGGAAAATTTGAAATAACTGTTATTTTCGGTCCCTGGTTCTGTGGCTTCGCTCCACGGTTCCTACAGTCTGGTGATGATGTGCTGTTGAAGTTATGTTTTTGATATTTAAGTTTTTACATAGATCTTCAATTATCGAATTTTTGTATTCTGTTCCCTTATCCATGATGAACGTCTTCATTGGACCGTACTTCAGAATAAAATCTTCGAATATAGCTTTTGCTACTGTTTTTGCACTTTTGTTCTGGATTGGAATTGCTACAAGGTACTTAGTTAAATCGCAAATTAGCGTTACTATGTATTCATTTCCTTGTTCAGATTTAGGTAGTGGACCGATCGTATCCACAATTACCCTGTCGAAAGCCGTTTGTGGCGTTTCGGTGATAGTTAATGGGGTCTTCGTATGTTTTGTTGTCTTTGCTTTTTGGCATTTAGGACATTTTCTTATATATTTTGTTATATCTTTGGTCATGTTTTTCCAATAATAATGCCTTTTTATTTTTGCTAATGTTCTAGCTATGCCTATATGACCTCCTTGTATTGGATCATCATGGAATGTAAACAGTAATGCTTCTTTCTCTTTATCATTATTTGATAATTTGGTCACCGGCTTGAGTAGCGCTACTCTTAATGTTTGTAATTTTTTATTGCCCATAATTTTAAAAGATTCAATTGAAATGGTTTCAAAGATCTTTTCGCTCGGTGCCACTTTGAGTTGGCTGATATTAAGTATACCGGCTTCTTTTTCAAGCCTTTGAAAGAACTGACCTAAGTCGAGAATTTCATTGGTATACAAATCGCTAACATCAATTCTTGCTATAACCTTTTTTCCATTCTTTAGTAAGCAAAGTGAATCAGTTATTCGCAAGGTCACTACTTTTCGTACCTCGTCATTAACAATGACTTCGTATACGTTGGGCTGAAAAGCTTTATTTAGAATATGCCTAGGCAAATCTATTTTTTCTTTTTCTGTTCCTGCGCAGGAATTTTTCTGTTTACTTTGATTTCTGGTAGTGACTTTCAGAATTTTATTATTTGTCTGGATATTTTTCAAATCCGTTATTGTTATTCTTGATAGCGCGTCGGCTATATGGTTGTCTTTTCCCTTAAGATATTCCACAGTAAAATCATATTCTTCCAAGTCTAATCTCATTCGTGTTAATTTCGAACTTGGATTTGTCATTGAAAATAGATAGGTTAAAGGCCTATGGTCTGTTTTGACTGTGAAATGTTTTCCATAAATATATGGCCGAAAATGGTTTATTGCCCAGTGGATAGCTGCTAACTCTTGTTCTGTTGTATTTTTATTACTTTCTCCTTTCGTAAAAGATCTTGATGCATAGGCTACTGGTAGCTGAGTGTTATCGTAATCTTGAGTAAGAACAGCTCCACATGCTTGTTTGCTTGCATCTGTTGTTATGCAAAATTCTTTATTAAAATCGGGATATTGCAATAAAGTGGGTTTCATCAATTGGGTTTTTAGGTATTCAAATGCGTATTGACATTTATCTGTCCAGTCAAATTTAACATTCTTTTTACATAATCTAGTTATGTGACGTGAATAATCGGAACAATTTTTAATAAAACGTCTGTAGTAATTGCAAAATGCAACGAAGCTTCTAGCGCTGTCTGCGTCCGTTGGGACTGGGTATTTTTCTATTACTTCGTATTTTTTACTATCTGGTAAAATACCTTTGTCAGTACACTTGTGTCCAAGAAAGGTCACTTCGTGTCTGAAAAATGTGCACTTCTCTGGGTGCAGTTTAAGGTTGTTTTTTCTACATAGATCAAAGACGTTTGTAAGATTTTTAATCATGTGATTTTCTGAACAACCGATGACAATTAGGTCACCCATATACAAGAATGCCTGAGATGGCTCGATACCTGAAAATGCAATTGTCATCATTCTTTGGAAAGAATTTGGCGCTATTTTTAAACCATAAGGTAATCGTGTAAAACGATAGGAGCCATTGCTCGTGGAAAAGGACGTTATATTTCTAGATGTATTTTCGAGTTCTATTAGATGAAATCCTGACATTAGATCTAGACATGAAAAGTATTTAGCTCTACCTAATTGGTCAAGAATATCGTCTATTCTTGGTAGTGGAAATTTATCTGATAAAATTTTTTTTGTTAATTTGGCGGTAATCAATTACTAAACGCCACCTTTTTGTATTGCAATTTGGTAATGATTTTTTCGGGACTATTAATAATGGACTGTTGTATTCTGAAACTGATGATTCTACTATTTTATCTTTAATTAGTATTTCTACTTGTTTTTCTACTTCTTTTTTTTGACTGTGGGGGATTCTGTAATTCTTTATATATTCTTTATATGTTCATCATCTTTCATTCTTATTTTTTGTTTATAGAAATTGTTGGTTGATATCGGTTCGGTTTCTATCCCGAATATATCTGTGCATTTGGTGCATAATTCTTTAAGTATTTCTTTAAATTGAGGCGGGAAATTTTTGTTAAGTTTTTCTAAAATTTCTTCGTTATTTGTATTTTTATTAGATTTAATTATATCGTAATTATCCAATGGTTCGACTTTAAGTGTATTTAATTGAAGAATTGCTGTTTTATTTGTTGTATTTAGAATTCGGACAAAGGTGTTTTTAGAATCTGCAATGGAATTTCCAATGAATATTCCATTTTGGATCTCTTGGTTTGGTATAAGTATATACCTGCTGATAAAATGGTCGAATTATTTTCTAGTGTATGATTTATTGGAATATTAATCGGATTACGGAGATTATCTGGTCTCAGTATAAGCCAATAATTTTCTGGTTTTAAATCTATTTGACAATTGTATTTTTTCATAAAATCTATTCCTATAATTCCATCACATGGAATAGGAAAAATGGACGTTACTATATGGAAATTATGTGGTATAGCATAGTTGCCCGGTAAAAGTTCTATTGCTGCTAAACCTTTTGAATTTGTTGTTCCTTCGCCAACGCCTGATATTTGCGTAATATTTTTACATTGTTAAATGAGTCTAAGGATTCTTTGATTAAAGAGATGTCTTCACCTGTATCAACTAGTAATGTATATAATTTATTTGTGTTTTCATTTTTAAGTGAAATAAAAAGATTGAAGTTAAGATTGATAGTGTGAACCGTATTCTTTACTGGGTTTTTTATCTTAAGGGTCTTTATTGGTTTTCCGAAGTTGTTTGTACTTGTCGAACGTTATTGTTGTTATTTTGTCTGTTTGAGTTTGTATTGGTTATTACCGTTGATGTTGTTATTGGAGTTATATCCATTATTGTTTCCACCACGGTTGTTTCCTCTATAGTTACCACGACCTCTGTAGTTATTGTTGGTCTGGTTATTATAGTTTCGGTTATAACCGTTATTTTGGTTATAACCATTGTTTTGGTAAAGTCCATTATTTTGATAATTACCTCTGTTGTTACCCCTACCGCGATAATTATTTCTGAAGTTATTACCACGATAGTTGTTTCCTTTTTGTGTGTATAGGATCGAGTTGGCGTTGCCTGTCATCTCAGTACAACACTGTATGGATTCGTGACGGCTTTGTTCATTGTTGAAAAGTTGCCAGCTTCTAGGATAGTCTTAAGTCGGCCATGCTCACAATTTTTGATCATTGTGGTTATAGCTTCCTTTGTGCTGAACTTGTCGGCATGTTCAGCCCGTAGTCCTTCGTCAATGTATGAAGCTTCAAGGAGCTTTCGTAGGTTATCTATTTCATTTGTAAATTTTTCAGCAGTTTTGCCTTTTTGGCTTGTTTTAGCCATTTTTGCTTTGACAACGTCAGATGTTTCTCCGACAATAGTGTCTTGCAGTTTTTGGATTATTGCGTTTATCG